CTCTGCCTCCCGAGTGCTGGGATTAAAGGCGTGCGCCACCACGCCTGGCTGTAAAAATACTTTTATACTCAAGAAAATTAAACTCTAGTCATAGACACAACTGTATTAACCACAGAGCTATATATCCATTACTGTCCGGTGTTTACTTTATCACTAATCTTTGCTCTATTTAGAATAAAACATTGCAATATAAATTACCTCTTCTATAACTTTTCAATCTAGACAATTTTAGCCCATTTGATCCTTTTATAGAGCATTTTTAAAAAGACTTTTTAAACCTGAAGGAAAGCTGCATACTTAGCAAATGTATAATTTTCTTATTCATGGGCAACCCAGTGTTTACATGTGCATGCCTTTCTCATGCATACATGCTGATATTTGAAAACTGTCTTAAACAATGAGGGGAAACCATGCCTTGCTCTAACTTGTAACCTGTATTTATTTAAATTGCACACTAAAAATGAGAAATATTACTCAAAAAGCAGTCTGTAAAAGTGTGCCTAAAGCTGCATTAGCTTGTGGTATGTTCCTCTGAAGGGATTTGCTTATTTATTTTATTATTCCACTGAGAAAGGCTGATGACAGTCAGTATTACATAGCTCATATGGTATGCAACCACACAAAGTCCACGAAGGAAAAGAAACTCCCAAGTTTGGGTTTCTATTAGGATTTCTTTGAAAAAGATGTATAGGTTGATGAAAAGGAGAAAAGAATGAGTGAAGTTCACCAAGAGGATATGTGGCTGAGAAGCAACAAGAGACCTTCAGAGCACAAGCTTTCCCTGCAAATCCGGACCTGACACACTAGCTACAGCGGATGTGGCCGTCACTTTCAGAGCAGTGAAGTACTTACTAATAAAGGCAAAGAAATCAGCTCTGAATCCATTAAAACAAGATGCAGAAAAAACGACAGCTCCTCCCACATCTGCTAAAACCCCTAAACTCTCCACAATGACATTCTAAAAGGTTTAAACATTTCTCTATCTAGCATGTTGGGGTACGTAGAGAGCCAGCACCACAGTTGTGTGTGGAAGTCAGAGGACAATGTTAGGGGTTGCTTCTCTCCTTCCTCTGTGTGAGTCCTGGGGATTGAACTCGGGTGGACAGACAGACTGGCGACAAGTGGCTTTATCCACCCATCCGTCATTGCAGCCCATGCAACACCTTTTAATTCAAGAGCTGTAACTTTCTTTGTTGTGGCTGTTTGCTCTGGCAGAATATTACAAATTCTCCCTCTCGTAGTACATAAAATCCTCTTTATTGGCTTTGGGCATTTTCTCTTATACTGCTTTAACATGAATGTTCACTGTTTTTATGGGTTTTTTTAACATAAATATTTTCTACATTAACCAAACTTTCTTTTATTAAGAAATTTTTTTATTCATTTTATATACCAACCACAGCTTCCTCTGTCTTCCATCCTCCTGCTCCCACCTCCAGTATTCCTCCCCAACCCATCTCCCATTCCCTCCTCCGAAAAGGTAAGGCCTTCCTTGGGGAGTCAGCAAAGCCTGATATATTCAGCTGAGGCAGGTCCAAGCCCCTTCCCTTGCATCAAGGCTGTGCAAGGCATCCCACCATAGGGAATAGGCTCCAAAAATCCAGCTCATGCACCAGGAATAGATCCTGATCCTACTGACAGAGGACCCCTTAATAAATAGAACTAGAAAATACCATCCTGGGTGAGGTAACCCAGACTCAGAAGGACAAACATGGCATGTGCTCACTAATAAGTCGACACTAGATGTAAAAGCAAAGGATAACCAGACTGCAACCCACAACTTCAGAGAAGCTAGCTAACACAGAGGACCCTAAGAGGGATGCATGGATCACCCTAGGAAGGAGAAATAGATGAGATCTCCTGAGTAAACTGGAGAAAGTGGGGTGATGGAGGGATGAGAACATAAGAGAATGAGATGACCAAGCTTAACCAAACTTTTGAATGTATAGTACTAACCACCTCAGAAATGCAGAGAGGGGGATGTATATATGAGAAGCCAGCCATGAGAACGTTCTAGTCTCTCACATAACATGAGGAGTCATCCTCATTTCAGCACCTGAAAGAGAAAGGCTAAGGCCACGCCCTTCTCCAAATCTAGGTTTCACTCGAAACACCTGTGAACTGTCTCATCAGAAGGTATTTGCAGTACTTGCAATGCCAGTACGAAGCCGTTCCAACCAATAGGAAATGTTAAAAACCTACAGACAGTTCAAAGTTCAGTTCACACAAACTCTGAAAGTTTAGCATAACCTCTTTGCAAAATGCCATGGGTTGTTAAATGTTGACTATAGACAACTCGATTTTTTTTCTTGCCAAATGCTGCCAAAAGTAGATACCAAAAGTGTCCAAATCCAATGACATTCTCTAAATTCTTCAAGCCACCGAAATAAAGTTAAATTGTAATTCTTTAAAATAATAAAAGTATTGCAGCGTTTATTTTAAAATATCTCAGTTCTTCCACCTGCATGTATTTTTCAACTTTGTTTAAAATATCCTTATTAAAGATAGCATTTGCTCCCCTGCTCAGCATAAATACCAGGTGTGAACAGAGCACAAGAATAAAACCCAGTACTTTCCGCACTAATTAAATAGTAACTCACATTTTTATGATATGAAGGAATAGCCAACTTGAGAGCAATTTTATTTTCTTATTGAAATCTTTTCCAGGCACTGCAGCACTGGTAATTTAGAAATATTCCATCAAGAAGGGACATTACTGAGATCTATTTCAAAGGGCTGAGGTTTTCACTCAGGTGTATATCTTCAAACTGGAACTTTGCCTTGCTTGAAGAAAGAACATGTTTTGACATAAGAAAAAAATACTCTCAATGGGTATTAGAACAGGCAAAGTATTCCCTAAAATAATTAGATATAGCTAAGGATATTATTTGAACCTCTCTGAGCTTCAGTTCCCTAATATATAAAAATAGTATGCTACTTGAATTCCACCAGCTTCTTGGGAGAATTAAATAGTGCAATGTAATAGAGTGTTGCTTTTAGAGTGTATGTGCATTTCTGGAATTTATGTGAACAAACAGAAACTCATCATGATAGCTGTCTATGAGGAAGCTTGGAAGCATAGTAGGTGCCTTATAAATGTTATGTTTTCAGTTTTGGGCCATGTGAGCACATCACTGCAGAAAGGCATCAGCTTTAAGAGAACAGCACAGGGAATAAAGTCTGCATGGATGTGTTACTACACAGACCGTGGCCGCGAGGGAAGAGTGGTGTCGAGCTTTCTCTGGGTCCTACCCCTGCACAATGGGTCTCATTCCTGCAGTGTGGGTTGCAGATGGAAAGGAGGGGGAGAGATAAACTTCTCTTCTCCTGTTTCTCATTACCCACTACTCTGAGTAGAATTTACTTAAGGTGTTAACAACATAATAGCCTCGTCTTTAGGTTTATTTGATATCTGCTCACATTCACGTCACACTCCTCACCTGTGCCAGAAATGCTGCATTTTCATCAGGAAATTTATTTTTCCTTCTTCAGTTTCTTCTCACCACACCCTTCTTAGGAATTGTAATCTAAGACATTAGCTGATCTAAGCCACATTGTTCCTTCATTTTGAGCTGTGAACAGAAATTCTAGAGTATGTGTGAACTTTTGTTTTTAATACATGCTTCTTGGGGAACTCAGCCATGGTGAATGCGGAGGTCACAAAGCTGTTTTCGTTCATGCCTGTAAATTATACTTTCCTGAGACACAGTTTCAAAGGTTCCAGTTTAGACAGAATGGATGTGTACTCAAATAGTCCTCTTGGTCTTTGGTTCATTCTAGACAGTTTAGTTATATCTGTCAGCACTGTGTAATCATCATCTAATGTATTATTTTTGAGACATCAACCTTCCTCTGTGCTATTTCTTTATACACATACTTCAAGATCTTGCTGGTTAGACAAAGTGTCTATAACCTTGAGTATGTTACTGAACCATCAACTTAACAAAAGTAGACACATTTCATGTTTTCTTTCACTAGTGGCTTATTGTACATAGAGAGCTCAAGAGTATGTATCAACAGTATTGCCACTCAATACAGATATATATATATATATATATATATATATATATATATATATATATCACCTCATGTTTTCAAAAAATACATATTAACTCTATGTTCAAGAATTAACATTTATTTGATGACTTCGTAAATGACCTGGAAATGGGAAAACTAAGTAGAATTCTGTTGTCACTGTTCTACTTACCAGATTCACAAATAAACCCGTCAAAGTATTGCACATTATGTACAGTCAATAATACCTATAAAATTTTAGAAAGTCACAAACTATGACATACCTTTAGTACTTCCTGGTAATGTTCAAATGTATTAACTGGCACAGACAAGGGGTTGGTGCTGTACTTTTTCTTAACAACAACAAGCAATAAAATAAGAGTAGGACATTTCGCCAACTAGACTATCAGTCAGAATAAGAAAGATGTTATGTCACATTTTCTATATAACAAGCACCTATGGTAAGAATCCTCAAAGAAATCTCAGCAGGGAATTGTATCTAAGGCTGAAAGCAAGAAACAGCTACTGACAATAAGCATGGACAAGAAGAGATCTTCCCCTGTAATGCTTCCTAATTACCTGATATCATCTGGCTCAAAAACCTAACTCTGGATTTTGCAAAAAGTAGTATTTGGGTGAAAGGTGATTTCCCATGGCTGCAGGCAACTGATACCTAAACCTCAGCCTCTCATTTGTTCAGAAGTCAATTTTTAAATTTAATTATCTTCTCAGTTAAAAAATTGAGCTCTTCTGCTTTGTCCAAACCACCTTCCCCTGTTGTGAAAAGAGAAAGAAAATAAGTTTCTGCTTCAGACTCTTTATCTGATGCTGAGTTTTTTATCTTTGAATAACAGTGAACAAGGAAAGTAATATAACCCAGATAACATGTAAGAGAACCAAATACCTCCCTATAGCAGAGACATTTGTTGTTACCAGATTCTCAACTTGATGAGACAGAGTCTTCATATGTGACAGAAGCAGTAATTCCATATTCCATTTACTTTAGAGCTAACTGGCAAAAAGATGCTCACTGCATTGTATTCTTTATCATGTCTCTTGCAGGATCCTGTTGGGTGTGATCAACTGACATTAACTTGTTCAGATCATCTGTTTATAATTGTATTTTCACTTGTCATGATTTTCATCACATAACATGCTTCCTCAGCAGCAAAGTTCAGAGAATAATTTTATACCTCAGAAGTGTCAAGACAAAGAGAGCATGTCATCCCCTCACGGTTCTTGCAGGGCCACTTCTAGAAGTTTCCACACACAAATTCGATGTTTGGTTTGGGAGCCTAGCCTTTACTTGCTGGGCCATCCCTCCAACCTGTCACACACAATTTCAAGCACCATCCTCTTGTTCTCACTGATCACAAAAATGTACATGATATGTGTTTACCAATACCTTGTTAAAGTTTAAGTTATTAATTTTGATGAAAATATTAAAATGCTTAAATATAGATGAATTATAAGATATCAATAAGCATTTAAATATTTCAAAAACCTTCAAGATGAATGAGTACTTTCTTCATAATAGCTTTGGATTTCTGTCTGGCAAAATATTACAGTCCTAGTTTATGAGAATAAGTTATATTTGCACCTAGCACTTCATTGAGTAAACAATGAACAAGGTACTTTGGAATTCCAAAGATGCCATATGTAGGATGGATGACTTGTGAGCACTCTTAATAATATTGTTAGTTTAATTAGTAACTTGTAATAAATTACTGTCTAACTCATAATGTGTTCATCTTGAGTTATAGCAATCTAAAGAAAATAATCAATTTTAAGTTCATTTATCAAAAAAAAAAAAAAAAAAAAAACAAGATAGGCAGTTTTAAAGTGATTTTTTTCCTCTGCCTAGTCCCCAATGTTCTAGAGATCCCTCAAAGTCTGTGAAACACTTCAGTAAACTAGACATGGTGACTCACACTTTTAATCCCAACCATCTGGAGGTAGAGGAGTTATGAGTTCAAGGCCAGCCTGGTCTGTAGGACTTCTAGGCCAGCCAGGGTTTCATAGTAACACTCTGTCTCTAAAAAACAAAACAAAACCAACCAAACAACACACAAAACTTCAGAAAGGCAAAGTTCTAGTGAAATGGTTGATTTGGGTAAAAGAATATCTAGTTTGTTACAAAGCATACATGAGTGAAAACATAACTAAAGAATAACATGTAAGTAATGATATCAATGAAATATGCCCAAAGTGTTTATACCTAAATATTGACAGATAATTTTACATTTATACCTATTACAATATAGAAGTATAAGGGGAATGAGCAATATACAAGTATTTAACTTGTTTTTCTATGCTCTTTACTTTGTGACTATTTTCAAGCTAATGATTATGAGAACATTAACATCCTAATAATCAAAAAATATTATTAATGATTTTAAATGCTTGTGTGTTATTTGTAGAAATGTATCACTTTATTTGTTTTGTTTGGTAAATACAACAATTAACTCTAAGCAATTTAGTGGTTATGTGTTATCTAAAAGAAGGAATCTGAGGTGCTTTCTGTCTCAATGACAGAAGACATAAATTCTACAGAGTTCAATTTGAGTTTAATTGAAAGGTGGTGTGATTTAGCATAATAGCCTTAGAATTAAACAGGTCTGAGATTGAACCTTCACCCTGGCTTCCCTAACGATTATGCTGAACAACCTTGGCCTTTCTGAATGTACAACAGAGGGAACGTTATTTTTCTCTCAGGGATGTTGACAGAGTTGAATGAGATCATTAGAAGCGTCAAGGCAGAGCCTGGGTGCCTGACAAGCACAGAATGGTATTCAGTTCATGGAAGTTCTCTTCTTGTCCTTCTGTTTCTGTCTGTGCCATTTCCTTTTTACTTCCTGGTAACTGCTTCCAGTATTAAACTATGACTGAGGGTCCCTACAGTTTCAGGAGTAAAGCATCAATAGTCGTGGACTCGGGAAGGCAGTGGGTTCAAACCGGGAGTTCCAGTTTTGCTTCCTCTTCAAAAGTAGTTTGTTAAATCTGAAGGCCTGCTGTGGATGTAGGTTTGGACTTTATAATACCTTACACTAGTATGAAACACGTTCTATACTGGAAGCTTTAAAAAATAAAACGTCAGCTTGGAACATGGCTGAGTGGATAAAGGAATAGTCGCACAAAGGTGAAGCCACAGAAAATGGTGCTGAGGCTGCAGGGATTGCCTACAGTCCCAGCACACGGTGGGCAGAGTCGGGAGAACTCGGGAGAGCTAGCTAAACTCTCTCTCCGGAACTGGTAAACTCCAGGTTCAGCAAGAGCCTGCCTCAGTAAGAGCAGAGTGAAGAGCAATGGAGTCCACCATCTGAGGTCAACTTCGGGACTCCACACATTCAACAAGTGTGTACCTACACACAGGCACACACACCAATGCACATGTAAAAATTAAATTTAAAAAAAGCAAGAAAAATTTTGAAGGAAAAATTACTTTCTACAGTAAAATCTCATTTATCAGATCCTATTGGAAAATAGTTCATCAAACATTTAATTACCATTAAAATAAGTTATAAACATGACTAAATATCTCATCCTGAAAAATAAGGTTATTTGAGCAGTAAGAGGCTTACCCATGTAAAAACAAACTATGTCATGAACATAGTTTTCACTCTTGCATTTTTTTGATTTCATCAATGAGGAAAATGATCAAACTTGATGTTTAGCTATATTCACCAAATCAGACTTTATTCTTTTTTACCAACTTGTTACTGAATCAGAGTAACACATGGATGATCATTTGATAGGCCCCTCCTTTCAGGACATGTGGATGAAATACTAATAGCTTTGCATGATGATGGAAATAATATTAGTTGTAACATGAAAATTATATTGTTGCTGTTTAATTTTCTTGCCTCCCTTCAGTTAAATAATACGTGCTCGGTTTCCTTCTGTCTCGATGTAGACGGTGAGCTGTACTCGGGAACCGCCGCTGATTTCATGGGCCGAGACTTCGCTATCTTCCGCACGCTGGGGCACCACCACCCCATCAGGACAGAGCAGCATGATTCCCGGTGGCTCAACGGTAGGCTGGATGTGCCGGGACACAGGGCGGAACACGTCACTGATTGTCACTGGAAAGATTTCCTTTTGCGGGAACGTACAGATGCTCTAGATTCAGTCGGCTGTTAAGATAATGGCGATGACCTCACCACTGTGGGTGTGAGAAAATTGGGAAAAGACAAAAGAAGATTAAAAACTGAGGTTGTTTTGTGCCAAATGTGAGGTTTCTCAGTAGTCAGCTATGGGAAGAAAGAACCGGACCTGAAGCTACGGAAGGGAGGCAATGGAAAAAGATAACTGTCTTCTAGGGACTCCCCAGCGAACCTGGGGGATTAGTTGTTCTCCAGATCTCTGGTCACTGCTTTGAGAGCATCATTCTAAGCCTTGACATCCAAATTGTTTTTCCCCCCGCTAAGTACATTACATTTTTATGCTTTCAAAATTTCAAATGACTCTTACATCTCTCAAACAAACCAAAAACAACCACTACTTTACTTTATAGGCAAGGCAATGAAGAGCTACATATACCTAACCCAAAGTAGTTTTTTCTCAGTTTCCCCCATGTCAAGAACTCATCCAAGCCCTTGAAAAGCAGATGCTTTTTGTAATTTGTACTTTTTCTTAGTATTTAAATCATTTTAGTATTATATAAAAGGTGCAAGATGTACAAGTTTAAATAAACAAAAAGATTGTCATTTAGATTATGAATCATCCTTATATATCTTCCTATCCAGTTTAATGATTAATTTTTGCTTATTGACTTACACACAGTAGTCAAATATTTATAATAATCTCGGTGATATTATGAGAGTAGCTTTTGTAACTTAATCTAAAATTTGTACTTCTGCTTTCTCAATCACGTGAGATAATGTTGCCAGTTCCTAGTGTCCCATGTTTGGAGTTGTACTTGGTTCCACACACTTCCCTAATGAGTGTAAGTTTGCGGTGCACGCTCATCTACACGTTCCACAGGTGCTGGACTGTCCTTCTCCAAACATCAGCAGGGCTTTTTCTGGGATGAACTTGACACTCTTCTCTGAGCCCTTCCTCTGGTCTTTTAAATTGGCGCCCACCTCTGGATCACAGTGAAACTTCAGGGAATGTGGAATCTTTATGACAGTTTTTGTAAATACCTTGCTTCAAACTCATCATTCAGAGCATAAAAGAGGCCTCCAGTCACCTAAGTCTGCATCTCTTTCCTCCTGTTTCTATTTGTACTATTATCTCTCATGGTTAGGAACAGAGACACAGACCCTAACTCAGTCATGTGATCTTCCTGCCTTTTTTTCTTAATTGAATTGCTACTTCTCCTAAATGACCAAATTTACATTTATTTCATTGTTACTATCTCATAGTGTTTTCTTTACCATTGTGTGTGTGTGTGTGTGTGAGAGAGAGAGAGAGAGAGAGAGAGAGAGAGAGAGAGAGAACGAACTCTGTGGAGTCAGGAAACTTGAAGGAGTTTGTTTTCTTCTTCCAACCTGTGAGAGCTGAAATGAAACTCAGGACATCACACTTGGAAGAAACCACAGAAAGGACTTTTACCCTGTCATCTATCCAGCACTCTTTCATTCCTTTTTGCCATGATAACTTGCCATGACTTGAAACTTTGATCCATTATCCCATTCAATCTGCTTCTTTTATGTGTGCTCAAGTTCACGCTCTGCCTGGGACCCTTTATCCTCAAGATTTTCACCACTGTTAACTGATTTCAACTTAGCCTTACTCCAACAATCTACTCCATGCCTTTCTTCGCAGTCCACCCCTGAGTCTCTGTAGCTTTTCGTCCAGCTCTGGTAGAACCCGCCCTGCAGTATTTCCCACTATATATGACCACGTTCTCCAATCAATCACTTCTCTGTGTCACTTCTTGCTCTCTGAAACTTCTTTTAGCTTTGGCTTCAGTTACTAATTGTTGATTTAAATACAGAAAAGGATGAAGATCATTCATGGCTGAGTACAACCTCCTAATAATAGTAATACTGGGTAATATTACCATAGTAATGATGGGTATTGGACATACAGTCAAATTTCCACCCTACTAGCAGCACCGGAAATATAATGATGCCTATGTGCTTCGAGAAGTTGGAAGTCCCAGTGAGGAACAGACTGCTGATGACTTGATGACAAGGGCATGTTTAAAACTCAGAGAGAGAGAGAGAGAGAGAGAGAGAGAGAGAGAGAGAGAGAGAGAGAGAGAGAGA